AAAAAAAAAACCTTTTTTTTAATTTTTAAAAAAAAAAAAAAAAAAAAAAAAAAAAGGCTGTCAAAAAAGCACGTTGTTGGCGAACAGCTTGTATTCGGCTCGTTAAGTAGCTCTTATTCGGCTCGTTCGTTAACTAAAGGAGCCGTATACGAACAAATTTTTAAAGCTCGAATTATAATCGAACCGAACAAGAAAAACTCTTTGTTCGCTCATGTTCGGCTCCTTTTAGCTCGAAATTAAAAATATATTATATATTTTTATAGCTAAGTTTAAATAATAACATCCCATGTGATAATGTGGTTAGTGTAATTTTTTATATACATTTGGTCCAGGTTCAAATCTCATACTTTACATCTATTTTTTCAATTTAATTTTTCTGAGTCAATTTCGAGCACATTGTTCACGAGCCGATTCAAACACGAGCAGTTTCTAACAAGCCGCCAAACACGAATATTTAATTAGAATATTCTTATTTTTCATTTTATGGAAGAATTGAGTGAGAGTATTTTAACACTAAATATTTTTTTGGGGTGGCTGCATTTTTTTAAGAAGATGATTGCAATATCGTGGTGGAGAAAATAACTTCTTAGAAAGCTACGCGTGGAAGTAATATATATATATATATATATATATATATATATATATATACCATACATACATGAAAAAATTCATACCATAGCTTTATCACCTACACCACAGTTTTACTTATTAGATTGAAAATATACAACTTCTCACCATAAAAATTTCTAATATGCACGAAGAAAATAGCTCTCTAAATAGTGTTGTGGTAACAGTCTGAAACACAAAGTAGACAAAAAATTTGTCCCAAACAGACCTTAAGTTAGTCCAATTTTGAAATTCTAAAATTTATTTTGATATGGACATAATAGAGACTATACAAAGGCCTAATTCAAAGAGTTCGCGCCACGGGATTCGAACCCCTGACCCGAGAGACTTACACAAGAGTGTGCGCGAGCGCGAGCGTGACCTGACTCATTGGTGCGACCTCTTATGTAAGTCCCTCGAGTCGGGGGTTATATGCACACAGACATACATACATACATACATGAAAAAATTCATACCATAGCTTTATCACATACACCACAGTTTTACTTATTAGATTGAAAAAATACAACTTTACACCATAAAAATTTCTAATATGCACAAAGAAAATAACTCCCTAAATAGTATTGTGGTAACAGTCTGAAACACAAAGTAAATAAAAAAGTTATCCCAAACAGACCCTAAGTTAGTCCAATTTTGAAATTCTAAAATGTATTTTGATATGGACATAATAGAGACTATACAAAGGAAAAAAAAATATTTTTATATCGCAACTCTTAAAAATAATTAAAAATTTTCTCACCCTTTCTTTTTTTTCATTTTGAAGAAGCACTTTATAAAGATTTTTTTTTATTTTAATTGCAAATGCTTTGAATTTATAACCTCTTTCTTGAAAATTAAAACATTTGAAATTATAAATAATTAGAAATGGAAAATAAATAAATTAAAATATCTCTTACTATTAATAAATAATTATTTGATATTTAGGAAATTCCGGTACATGCGCTTGGATCAGGCGTAGGATCCTTCCAAGGGTTAGGAATGGAAATGATTCTGACTTTCTCTCTCCTCTTCACAATATACGCCACGATGGTTGAGCCCGGAGAGCATATGGGCCCCGGATCCGGCCCACTGATTGTTGGTCTTATAGTCGGTGCAAATACCCTTTCAGGTGGGGTTTTTACCGGGGCCTCAATGAACCCTGCTCGCTCATTTGGGCCGGCTTTAGTCACCTGGAATTGGATCAACCACTGGATCTATTGGGCTGGGCCTATTTTCGGTGGTGTTCTTGCTGGATTTATTTATGAGCGGTTCGGTTCTTATTTACAAGGCCGTCATATGCTCCGCTTTCTGATGGAGTCGAAGGAGTTTGAAGGAGTTTGTTTTAATGGATTAGCTGTCTTTTTCATTTTATTTTTTTTAGAATTTAAAGGAATTACTATTTGTGCACATATTTGTATATATTTTTAAACTTTTCATATGTTTCTTTGATGAATAATCGTAAATTTTCTAATATTATATATATATATATATATATATATATTAAATTTGAATAGTTAGAATATAAATTTAAATTGAGAAACAAGTGGAATGTGGATGATGAGCTTGGAAATTGGAAAATTATTTTTTGTCAAATAATTTCTTAAATTTAATTAAATAAATAATATTCAAATTCTAATATGGTCTCTTTTTAAAAAACAAAGTATATCTATACATACAAAAGAATTCATTATAGATATTTACATAGGGGCATTCACATATATGCTACTCAATTCTTATGTATTTACATATCTAACATTTTAAGTTTACCTTTTATATTTCACATCCATTTCTTTCATACCATATAAGTTTTAACACTATTTTAGCACTTTAAGAAAGTGAAATACACCTTTTCATGAAAAAATGGCATATATATAAACATTAAATTAAGGGTTACGAAGGTAAATTTCTCATTTACAAAATAGTCCACTTTTAGATATTTACAAAATAATTCACTTTTAAAAAAAGTCATGGAATTTTTAGCTAAGAAGATAGAAAGATTTGTTGCGCAAAATAATTTGGAAAAAAAAAAATCAGACAGCAAACAAACAACCAAACACAGTGAGATTTATGTGATCTAACACAAATCTGCCTACATTCATGATGAGAGGTTATTCCACTATCAATAGGTGGGAGAAAGAGAAAACAAGTCGAATTAAGGTTAAAACTTAACACACATGATAAATTCTCCATAATTCCTCTTATAAATAACAGATGATTACGGCATACAAATTATGAAGTTGAAATATCGAAAAGATCATGCAAGCATAGACATGTTTGCCTATCTCATAAATTTTTTTCTCATTCAATAACACAAGTGTAAAACATGCAAGAATAAAAAAATAATAATAATTAATTAATTAATTAATGAAACTTTGGATTAGGATATTATGATAAAAAAATTTAATAGATCTATGTCACGACCTCTCAAGCATAATCTTCCCATTATTATTTTGTTGAAAGAAAAAGTAATGCAATATAAAATAAATGTAACACATAAATAATGTATTGTACTCCTGTATTGTATTTGAAATAATTTAGAGTTGTTTTGTTTATTATAAAATAAATGGTAGCTTCATTTTTTTCAGTCTCAAGAAAAATAAATCTATTTCAATATAAAAATAATGAGTTGGAAATGAAGCGGTTGTTATGCAAAAACAATGCAGAAATGAAGAAATTCACACAACAAGAATCAAACAGAAATGATTTATGCGATTCAACGTTGAATTGATTTACCTACGTTCACATAACAAAATATTCCACTAGCATTAGATGTGACAAAGAAAAATGATAGGGTTACAACTTCAAGGCTTCTCACAACCCACTCATGAACATTTAATCTCTTTTATAGAGGAAGATTAGGGCATACAATTAAATAAAGCCAAAAACCAAATCACCCCTCATTACAAAAATTAAATAAATACAATAATCTCCACCTCATCTCTTACTTCTAGGTAAATGAAAGATAATCAAACGAGTTCCAAACTCCAATTCACCTTCACCAAGATGGTTGCCTACGTACTCCTCTCGATATGGTATCATGCCTCACATAGTTCTTTAAAATGACCTAATGGAAAATCAATCCTAAACTCAGATGTTCACCAAACTCCTATTGTATGTGAACTTCTGGACTAGTATTTTTTCGTGAGCATGTTCGTTGGATTCTTCTTCATATATATCTTCTTTAACAAAACCTTGTCGTCAATAATCAAGTTCCGACCAAAGTGGCACCTCGCATCAATGCGTTTGGTACGAGGATAATGAACTAAATTTGTGGCCAATAGTATCACACTCTGACTATCACAGAACATCGTCAGAGACTTCTGATCAACTCCCA